CATCGGGCATTTTAAGACCCTTGATCGAGTGGGAGATGTGGCTTACAGACTTGCGTTGCCGCTAGGTTTATCAGCTGTGCACCCAGTGTTTCTTGTGTCTATGCTTTGGAAGTATCACGTGGATCCATCTCACGTGTTAGACTTTAGCACTGTCCAGTTGGACAAGGACTTGACCTATGAGGGGGAGCCGGTAGCTATTCTAGATCGGCAGGTTCGTCAGTTGAGATCGAAGAGTTACCCTTCGGTTCGTGTTCAATGGAGAGGTCAGCCTGTCGATGCAGCTACCTGGGAGTCCAAGTCTGATATGCGGAGCCGATATTCCCATCTTTTCACTGACTCTGGTACTTTTCTATGTCCGTTCGAGGATGAACGGTTATTTTAGAGGTGGAGAATGTGATAACCCAAAAGGTCATATCTTATTTTTGAAGTCAAATATGTGTTCCGAGGCCTTAAAAACCTCCTTTTGCCTTTCCTCGATTTGCGTGCACATTTACATTTCTATTGATGCATATGGTGAGGAAGAGAGATAAAGCACGAAGGGTGATGCTGTGCACATTTCTATTATTTATATAGTGAGGAAGAGTGATAAAGCACGAAGGGTGATGCCGTGCACATTTCTATTATTGATTGCATGGTGGGGATTGAGCGTAAAAGCACGAAGGGTGATGCCGTGCATTTTCTGTTTGCTGTGTCCATTTGCTGTTATCGGTTCAAGTGTTTTAACTGTTTAAATTCCTTTACTGCTGAAGTTCTTTATGTTGAAACCCCTATAACATGTTGTCTCTTCCCGTTCATTCCTGCTTAGTTTTATTACTTGTTACTCTGTTATTATACTGATTAACTGCACAGGTTTATGTTGGTTGTTGTGTCCTAGCCTCGTCACTACTTCGCCGAGGTTAGGCTCGACACTTACCAGTACATGGAGTCGGTTGTACTGATACTGCACTTTGCACTTTCTGTGCAGATCTCGGTGCCAGACCTTGTGAGTAGAGCTTGGGTGGCTGCCTTCAGTCTAGTGGAGACCCGAGGTAGTCCTGCAGACATCCGCATTCCTTGGCGTCCTCTTCTATCCTATCTCTTTTTTGTTTATCTACTTTCGAAACAGATGTACATTTCTTTGTTCAGACCATTGTTTGTAGTATTCGTAGACCATCCGTGAGTTGTGACACCAGTTTTGGGTGGAGTTTTATTGCGGTTTCGTTAATTGTATTAAGATAATTTGTTAAATTCCGTTCTTCCGCATTTATTCTGCTGATTTATTTTTGTTAACTTGTAAATTATTAAAAGGCAAAAGAAAAAGGTAAAATATTCTGTAACGTTGGCTTGACTAGCAAGTACAATGTTAGGCGTCATCACGATCCCGACAGTGAGAAAATTCGGGTCGTGACATGTGATATGCAGACAAAAACACGAGGTTTACTGCAAATGAGTGAGTTATTCAAGTGTTTGCTTCGTTTAAATTATTTTACTTGATTTTGTTATTTTTCTGATTAAAATAGTTTTCTTAGTCTTACAACTAATTGATTGTTGTAAACAACCAATTTTGGTAATTGACAAAAACCAGAAGAGATCTAGACTTCTTTGGCTAAAGCTGGGGAATAAGAAGTAGCGAATTCTTTCATTAGATGGCCTATCCAACTCGTCCAAGGTCGGGTCAGTCATTGACTTGCCTATTGTTGAACTCATTTATTTCAGCTCAAGTAACTTTCGGGCGGGTAATTGACACGTTTATTTATTGACTCAACCCATTTTGACCCGTTCAAAATTAGCTCAACCCGCCCATTTGGCACCCTTACTCACAGGAGAAACAACAACAAACAGCACAGGAGCATCAATATATGAAAAAATGCTCAAGTCAGTCAAGCTGGAGAACAGGGAAAGTATTTTTCTAAGAATTAAACTACTACTCCAGCCGAATGTCAACAGGACTCTAATTTTCCAATAATACATGAGTTAAATCTTAAACTCCTTGGGCATTAGTGAAATTACTCTGTTGAACGGGCAAGAAAACTGAGCTGTAATGGTGATTAACTAGACCATTTGGAGAGGAAAAACTTAGACCAGCTTGAGCTGAGGTGAAATGATCAATCTAATCTTTGGAACATGCTTCGCACAGAGATGGTTGAGCAACACTAAGTATCAAAGTAGCATACATGTCATATGATAAACATCAAATCTTAAGGGTCAACATAGTCTCATCCTAATTAGCCTTCCCCTATAACCATCCATGTCATCTTAAATATACCAATCTTCTATTGAAACAGACAAACGATCGTAAAGTTATCTCGATTTTGCAAAATGATATAGTAATAAACTAATCATTAAAAGAAAACCACGGTTATAAGAAATCAAGATATTTATCAGTCACACAAATGACACAACTAACACCTTCAGTCACAAATTAGTAGATAGGAAAACAAAATTATGGTCATCTTAATATGATTTTGTGTCAGTTGAAGTAGTTCAACTCAAAGCAGAGTGTTATATCAGAAGATATATGCTCATATTGATATTTGCAACGGAAAATTTGCTAAACATAAACACGTGAGTTTGTTTGACATATCTGAGAGCACGAAGTTTTCGTCCCATATATGAAATTACTCCTAAAATATTCAAAATAGTTTTTTTATTATTCTTGAAAGAATTTTAGGAATTTTGTTTGTTTATTTGATTGCATTCTATAGCATCATTAGATTACTTGCATTTTTGCATTATTAGGAATATTTTTAAATAAAAAAATCACCCATAAAATATTTTACCTTTCATTTGTACTATTTTTAGACTTTAATTGCATTATTAGTTTTTAACAGCATGTAGTTGCATTTTTGTTAAAATACAAAACAAAAAATAATAGAATAATATATTAGTTGTTTTGATTAATCAACTAGTTTAATTTGATAGTTTATGCATTAATTGGTTAATTTTTAAAAAGTGAAAAAGTAGTTAGTTCTTGCAAAATTAGTAGCATGTTTGGCTAAGCTGGAAAAATCTGCTTATTTTGAAAAATGTTTTTAAAAAAAGTACTTTTGGAGAGAAGTAGTTTGTGTTTGGCTAATCAATCTAAAAAGTATTTTTGAGCAATAGTTTGTGTTTGGCCAAACTTTTCAAAAAGTACTTTTAAGTACCAAATTACAAATAAGGACAACAACAACAACAACAACAACAACAACAATGACCCAGTAAAATCTTACAAGTGGAGTCTGGGGAGAGTAGTGTATATGCAAATCTTATCCCTACCCCGAAGGAGTAGAGATGCTGATTCCGAAAGACCCTCAGCTCAAGAAGGCGGAAAAGACGAGAAAAGAAGGGACTATATATTGGTACCATCAAATAAAAACCAAAGAAATAATAACAACATCATAAGAATTAGAACATAATTGAAATGCAATAACAAAACCAGAAAATAAGCCTCGATGCTATGCACAACGGAAGGATAGTGTGAACACAACATTAACCACTAGTAGTCTAAGGCCAACCCTATCTAACTAGCCTCATCCCAGACTCGACTACATCCTAACCTATAACCCTAATGCTCGACTTCCACACCTTCCTATCAAGGGTCATGTCCTCGAAAATCTGCATCAACACCATGTCCTATATGATCACCTCTCCCTAATATTTCTTAGGTCGCCCTCTACCTCTTCTCATACCCGCCAAGGCCAATCACTCGCACCTCCTCACAGGAGCATCATGGCTCCTCTTCTGCACGTGCGGGAACTACCTGAGCCTCGCTTCCCGTATCTTGTCATCCATAAGAGCTACACCCACCTTCTCCCGAATAACTTCATTCCTAATCTTATCCATCCTAGTATGCCCGCACATCCACCTCAGCACCCTCATTTCTGTTACTTTCATCTTCTGAATATAAGAGTTCTTAACCGGCCAACAATCTGGCCCATACAACATGGCCGGTCTAACCACAACTCTATAGGACTTACCTTTGAGTAATAGCGACACTTTCTTGTCACACAGGACTCCTGATGATAACCTCAATTTTATCTATCCCACCCCTATACGGTGTGTGACGTCCTCGTCGATCTCTCCTCCCCCTAGATAATCGACTTCAGGTACTTAAAACTACTTCTCCTAGGGATGACATGTGATCCAAGCCTCACATCTATGCCAATTTCCCCCGACTCGGCGCCAAATTTGCACTCCAGATATTCTATCTTAGTCATGCTCAACTTGAAACCCTTAGACTCAAGGGTATGTCTCCAAACCTCGAGCCTGTCATTAACACTGCCTTGCATCTCATCAATCAGAACTATGTCATCAACGAATAATATACACCATGGCACCTTCCCTTGAATATGGTGTGTCAGTGCTCCCATCACCAGGGCAAATAAGAATGGGCTGAGCATAGATCCTTGGTGTAATCCCATAACAACCATAAAATGCTTCGAGTTGCCTCCCATTGTCCTAACCCAAGTCTTATCTCCATCATACATTTCCTTGATCGCTCTAATGTAAGCTAATGACACACCTTTTGCCTCCAGGCATCTCCAGAGAACCTCCCTAGGGATCTTGTCATATGCTTTCTCCAAGCCAATAAACACTAGGTGGAGATCCTTTTTTCTATCCCTGTACTGTTCCACCAACCTTCTAATAAGGTGGATAACTTTTGTAGTCGAACGATCTGGCATGAACCCGAACTGGTTGTCAGATATAGACACAGTACTCATCATCCTTACTTCTACCACTATCTCCCAAACTTTCATAGTATGACTAACTAACTTGATACCCCTATAGTTATTACAATACTAGATATCACTTTTGTTCTTGTACAACGGTACCACCATACTCTACCTCCACTCATGCGACATTCTCGTTGTACTGAAAATAATATTAAACAACCCAATCATTTACTGCAGGCCTACTCTACCCATGCACATCCAAAATTCAATCGTAATTTTGTTTGGCCCGGTCGCTCTGCCTATGTTCATCTTACGCATAGCCCCTACGACCTCCTCGAACTTAATGTGCCTACAATACCCAAAGTCTCAGAGACTCTCTGAATGCCCCAGATTGCCTAGCACAATATCCTTGTCCCTTTCTTCATTCAGAAGTCCATAAAAGTAAGTCTGCCATCTCTGCTTAATTTGAGCCTCCCCTATCAACACTCTACCATCCTTATCTTTGATGCACCTCACTTGGTCCAGGTTTCGAGCCTTCCTCTCTATCACCTTAGCCATCTGATATAACTTCTTATCCCCGACTTTTCCCCCAGTTCCTCGTACAAACCAAATTCTGTAGTTTTAGCCTCCATAACCGCTAACTTCGCCTCCTTCCTTGCTACCTTATACCTCTCTCTATTCGCCCTCATCTCCTAATCCCTTGTACTCCCTACTAACTTCATGTACAATGCCTTCTTCATTTCCACTCTAGCTTGGGCCACTCTATTCTACCTCCAGTCGCCTTTGTGTCAGCCCAAGAAACCTTTCGAGACCCTTAACACCTATTTCGCCGCCTCTGACACAGTTCGCTATCATCATCCACATAGCACTTGCGTCCCCACTACTTTTCCAGGTTCCTATAGCCGATAACCTCCCCTCTAGCTTCTGAGCTTTATCCTTAGTTAAGGCTCCCCACCTGACCCTTGGTCTGCTACAAGCAGCCCTCTTCTTCCTCCTTATTATGATACCGACATCCATAACCAAGAGCCTATGCTGCGTAGCGAGGGTCTCACCTGGGATAACCTTGCAATCCTCGTACAACCCCCTATCATACTTTATGAGGAGGAAATAATCAATCTGAATCTTCACCACAATACATTGGAAAGTCACCAGATGCTCCTCCCTCTTCGAAAAACTAGAGTTCGCAATCATCAGCTCGAAAGCCTTCGTGAACTGCAATAGTGAGGTTCCTCCTCCGTTTCTAACCCCAAAGCCAAAACCGCCATACACCTCGACATAACCACCAGCTGACGACCTAATATGACCATTGAAATTTCCTCCTATAAAAAGCCTCTCAGCAGGTGGAATACTATGCACTATATTATCCAACCCCTCCAGAAGTGTCGTTTAGCCTCCTCATCCAAGCCCGCTTGTGGCGCGTAAGCGCTAACAACATTAAGGGTGCAATCTCCAACCACTAACTTGACAGACATTAGTCTATCATTCACCTACCTAACCTTTACCACAGACTCTATAATATCCCTATCTACTAAAATACCCACTTCATTCTTACCCTTCACGACTTCAGAGTACCACAACTTATACCCATTCGTATCCCTAGCCTTTGATCCTAAGAAGTGTCGTTTAGCCTCCTCATCCAAGCCCGCTTGTGGCGCGTAAGCGCTAACAACATTAAGGGTGCAATCTCCAACCACTAACTTGACAGACATTAGTCTATCATTCACCTACCTAACCTTTACCACAGACTCTATAATATCCCTATCTACTAAAATACCCACTTCATTCTTACCCTTCACGACTTCAGAGTACCACAACTTATACCCATTCGTATCCCTAGCCTTTGATCCTAAGAAGTGTCGTTTAGCCTCCTCATCCAAGCCCGCTTGTGGCGCGTAAGCGCTAACAACATTAAGGGTGCAATCTCCAACCACTAACTTGACAGACATTAGTCTATCATTCACCTACCTAACCTTTACCACAGACTCTATAATATCCCTATCTACTAAAATACCCACTTCATTCTTACCCTTCACGACTTCAGAGTACCACAACTTATACCCATTCGTATCCCTAGCCTTTGATCCTACCCACCTAGTTTCCTAGACACAAGCTATATTGACCTTCCTCTTCTGGAGAATCTTCGCCAACTCTATTGACTTACCCGTCAATACACCTATGTTCCATGACCTAATCCTCAACCTACAAGCTCCCTTGTTCCATTTACCCCAATTGCCTCCTATCCCACCCCCTAACCCCTACCTCACCCTACGCACCCCCCAAGTACATGACCTTACTCTACATCCTAGCCCACAACCACTATACCTACGACAAGCTACTGAAAAATACTAACACCGAATAGGCAACGACCCCAACTAAAGATAACATGATGCAAACACAGACACGCTAATAATATGATTAAACTAATGCTAACACCATAGGCAACAAATTAACTAGCATAAAGATAGAAACAGGAAAGCATGAGGTATCTATTCCCGCGGAAAGGACCTGGAAATTTGACTTGGTGCCCATTCGAGGTCGCAGAATCTGACGTACGTCCTTCTAACTCCCACCAGCCTTTGCAAACACCAAACCATGGCTATTTTACGATGCCTGCCAGTACATTTCACGCTTATCTTTAACCATTGCAGCTAATTCAGTGACAAATTTTACACAACTACCACAAAACCAATAGGGGGAAGGGGTTGTCAACCTGTCACCGCAGCACCTGTTTAGTTCTATGGAAACCCGGGCTGCCCAACTAAACAAGGAGGCGGACCATCGATGAGTGCAACGGGGAGGGTTAGTGAGTCAAAGAGTCAAACACAAATGGAAGAAAATGGGGGTGGGGAGTGGGAGCGACTTGGGCAGAGAAGAGAGGGCAACCAGGGGAGTCACCGGCCGGAGGTCATCGACCTGAGGGCAACTCTATTAGGACTAGGGCTAAAAGATCGACCAAAAGGGGATGGGGTAGAGAGAAGGACGATAAAGGAGGGAGAAGGAGGAGAGAAGACCGAAAGAAGGGAGGAGAAAGAAAGAGGGGTCACCGACACAACGAGTGAGATTGCTACGGTGGGGGGTAGGGAACGTAAAGAAAAATAAGAGGGGAGAGAGAGAAAACGGGAAGGGGGGACGAGAGGAGAAAGAGGGATGAGAGAGGAGGAGGGCCTACCTGCCTGCTGGCTGCCGGCGCCGGCTGACTCGCCGGTGGTTAGCCGAAGACGAGAGAGGGAGAGCGAGGAGAGTGAGTGAGAGAGAAAGAGCCGTAAATTTTGAATATTTCAATAAATTTTAAATTACGAATAAGGACATGAAGAGATTTACTTTATAGTTAATATTATATGAATAAATAAATAATTTACTATTAAAGATAATAATTAAAATTTTCATTTTATTTAAGTAAAACATGAAAATAAATTACAAAATACTCTAATTCTTTCAAGATGATTTAAATATATCAAAAAATCATTTAACAAATATAAAAGCATTCATCTTAAAAGTCACCATATATTAGAAAGTTATCCTAAAAATAAAAAGAAATATTTATGCATTTGGAGAGTTCAATAATATAATATCCAGTTCTAAGTATTAAGTTTAAAATAATTAAGTTTATTTTGATATATATCATATTTTGCTAAGGGTATTTTTGGTAAGAAGAAAAATCAAAACTACTTTTGCTTTTGGGAAGAAGCTACTTTTTTCTACTTCACAAAAACTGCTTCTTCCCAAAATTACTTTTTCCCCAAAAAGCTTGGCCAAACACCTCAGTTGAGAAAAAAATGCTTTTTGAGAAAAAAACACTTTTGGGATGGGGAAAAGCTTGGCCAAAATAGAGGCCACTAGTTTAATTGGTTAATTTGGAAGTTTAAAAGAGATTGGGGCTGCTATTTGTTTAAGACCGAACTGGGCCAAGTTTTAAGGCCCAATACAAAACAAAGATACCTGCCCCATATCGCGCCCCCTTCTTTCGTCTTGTGGCGGGGTCCGAGTTTCGACATTCATAGGGAATAACTCATTTCCTTTTGGGAATTGGGTACGGAATTTGAAGAGTCGCCACCTAACGAATTTAAGGTGCGTTAGGGCACCTAAAGCAAGCAACTCATAAAACCTGTTTGCGTTACCAGAGGTTGGGTAAGGGCTCGAAATAACCTTGAGGGGAAGATGTTAGGCACCCCTCGTGGTCCACAACGGTGGGTCCCGACCGAACTCAAATTATGTGAATTAGTCTTATAAATAGATAAAGCAAATTAGACAAATTGATATTATATTTAAAACAAGGAGTAAAGAGGGGTCCTAAGTTTTTTAGTCTACATGATCACTTCTGTACAATGCTTGGTAATCGTCCCCAAGTTGGGGTGCTACACATAGCATTAGCGCACAGATCATCATATCCTTTACTACCCAATTACCCTCCCCTTAGTGGTTACATAAGCAATTCTAAGCAAACGTACTCTATGCGTGCATTACCCGTCCCTTCCTTATGGCCCTGGAGGTGTTTAGGACCTCTAATTAAGACAGTTTTAGACTCTCCTAAGGTGTTTAAAAGGAGAAAATCTAAGCGACAAGCAAAGACAAATAGGACATTCACATAAAGAGGTAATTAAAGACTCACTTTTACCTTCTCACGCGAGCAGACAATAACACGTCTCAAACAACAAGATTTCAGATATTTCAAAGGGTCCTAGAGCAGGATATATAGGTGAGAAAATAGAATATATGCAACATTGTGTTAAAGCGAAGCAATTGAGACCTAATCAGTTTGCCTACTGATTTTAAGGCTTGCTAAATCTGGACAATTCACAAATAACAAAAGCACAGTTTTACAGTTTACAGGATTTTAGTCACCCTATAGGCTTGCCTAGGCGTGTGTCAGTGATGTCCTATGAACATGGTATCAAGTCATTAATCAGACGTACAATAAACCAGTAAACAATTTTAGCAGACAGTTTGGTTCATTAGATCCTATAGGCATGCTGTCTAGGTGTAGAGATTGATTTTAGACTTATAGACAATGGTAGCTAAACGCAGAAATTCATTCTAAAATCTTATAGGCATGACATCAAAATGCAGCAATTAGTTTTAAAACCTTATTTTCATGCAGAGAACTGATTTAAACCTTGTTGGCATGCAAGGACCGGTTTTAAATTTACCGGCATGGTGTCTAGAATGCAAGATTGATTTTAAATCCCATAGGCATGGTTTCTAAGTGCTAAATATGCTGAAATCCTATTAGCATGAATTTTAAGTGCAGAAATTGATTTAAAACTTATAGGCATGATATCTAAAATGCAGGATTGATTTTAGCACCTATAGGCATGGTATCTAAATGCACTAATTAGACAAACGTTACAATAACTTATAGGCATAGTTTCTAAGTGTAGGAACTGATTAAACCCTATAGGCATGGTATCTACCCGTTCCCAACAAAATATATATGAGAATCCCTCCCAATTTTACTAATATCCCAATATCTGTTTACAAGGAAATTATTACAAATCATATGAATTACAGAAGGAACAAACTATGCTATATGGAGCTTGAATAGAGGCCCAAAGTGAACCTGGAAATTCTAGGACTTCAAACAATCCAAAATGCCATAATCTCATAGTGTCCAAGAGGAAGTATCCTGGTGCGTCAAAGTTCCCAAGGGCCTTAGGGACCTCGGGCAATTCTCACACCAAGATCTTTTTAAATGAAGAAGCGATTATGTGCAGAGTGGAAGGGCCAGCCCCAGTGTGCTAGAGTTCGGAGGAATCTCATGGATTCCTAGGCAGCACGCACACTGGAGGGGCAGAATCTTAAGTAATCTAAGAGTAGGAGTGAGAGTGCTTGACATAGTTGGAATAACCTTAGGAAAATAGTATAGAAGTAAAATGTTTATGAGTGAAAAATACTTTAGGTGTATAAATAGTTTAGAAAACATATTAGGGGGTGAAAACATGTTGAAAACATTTCTGGAAAAGAAAGGTTCAACAAACAACAATGCCATATTGCCTAGATTCAACTTCAGTTTGTTAATTAACTCTAGGTGAGGACAAGCAATTTTGAAGATAGGGATCAGGGGTTGGGAACACAGAAAGCTTCAATCAGAAACACATAAACAGGATACAAGGGAGAGTATATTGAACAACAAGTACATAGAACAAGCAGGGGCTGATTGACAACCAACAACCAAATTCATAGCATTCATTAGAACATAGACTACTGATTTAGAGTCGTAACAGGAAAGTCATACTTGATGCTAAAGAAGTAATAGATAGTAAAGCACAGAGACTGAATGTAGGAATAGTTATGCTGAGGACATGGGTCTACTACACAGAATTATTCATGCCAATTGAAGTTAATTACATAACATGAAAGTCTGAGACACAAAGCATGCTGGTTGGAGGAAGTAAACATGAAAGATGAAGTACTTAAACTAAAGTAAACATGCTGACTTAAGACAATAAACAAGAAGAGTGAAACTTTAGACATGCTGATCAGGTAGTAAACAGAGTTAACTAGGCAGTAGTTACACTAGTACATAAAAGATATAGCCTTAGCAGAAACGAAGCAACAAGGAGCACATAGATTTTAACTTCATAATGACATTGAGGTAGGAACATAACAGTAAAGGAAGCAAAAACAGAAGGTAAAGTAGGCAGGATTCAACAGTCTAGCCTTGGATTTCAGCCGGCTAGACAAGTAATGAACACAAGTAGTAGAGAGAGAC